TTCACAAACAGCTATGACATTTACTCCTGCGTTAGTTGCAAATCTGACAGATTTGACAAAGCAAACCTGACAGTTGCTTTTGAAAAGGACGTCCAGCCAGTGGTTAACTAGGTCAAGAAATTGCTTGTAAATTTTAAGGCCTCCAAAACAAAACTGGTTTCATTTAATCACCACATAAACTCTTTTCTCTCTGCCAACAGCATGGCTGATGCTAGAGGCCAGGAGAACAATACCCTCTTGACCTCACGTTTTCCACTGACAGTAAGTGGAGTGATTATCTTGAATCTAATGTTAGACTCAAAGCTAGGAAAGTTGGTCCATTGTGTCGTGCCAAACAATTTCTCTTGTCAGAATCCATCAAAAGATCTCTCCAATAAGGCATGATAATTCAAAGATAATAAAGAAAAGAAAGCTGTGGAGAGCCATGATGTTTTTCTTACAGCAAAGGATATATATATATATATGTAGTCGAACAATTACATTTGTATATATATATATATATATATATATATATATATATATATATATATATATATATTGAGCACTATTTTGTAAAAATAAAATATCTATAAGAACACCGGATTATATATCTTACTGTTCTTTCTTTTTTTATTTATTATATATATATATATATATATATATATATATATATATATATATATATAGAGAGAGAGAGAGAGAGAGAGAGAGAGTCATCCACAGAAAGACTGTTTCACTGTATCACAGCTCATCAGTGTGGTTAGATGCCCGGTTGCCTCTAGCTTGTAAATTTTAAGGCCTCCAAAACAAAACTGTTTTCTTCTAACCACCACAGAGAATCTTTTTTGTCTGCCATCAGCATTGCTGATGCTTGACTGCAGGTGAGCAACACACTACACATTCTTGGCCTAATGTTTTCCACTGACAGGAAGTGGAGTGATTATCCAGAATCAAATGTTATGTCCAAAGCTAGGAGATGTGGTTCATTGTGTCGTGCCAGAGAATTTCTCTTGATAGAATCCATCAAAAGATCTCTCAATTGATAATTCAAAGAAAAGAAAGAAAGAAAGCTATGGAGAGCCATGATCGGCTAAGTACTGCTGGGAGGAAAACTGTTCTGAAATCCAGACCGTGGAACCGGCAATGGGACACCACTCTGATATATTTCCGACGAAGTCATGGAAATTGAAAGATGATAACTTTAATGAAAACGTGGAGATTCATAATCGCCTACGGTATGGCGGTACATGGCATTAAAAATAGACATAAAATAAGTAAACAGAATGATGTAGTCTTTCGTTTTTCGGTTTAAAATTCCAACCATTCTTTTCTATCCGCCAGTACTCGACAGTCTAAGTGTCATCATCGACAAAGTTCTATTCTAGTTCCATTAACCATTATCTTATATCGGTGACTGCTTCTGACATCGCTTTCATTTAACAAGAATCCTGAGTAATTGGTAATCTTCGACATGATTCGTCTTTGAAGCAAATAAAATACTGGAGGCGGGGTGTTAAAATGGTGATGTCCATCGCCTCTCCAAATATCCTGCGGCAGATATGAATAAAAATATCATAATATTCGTTTTTGGATTCGATTTCCGAGGAAGTAATGCGATTTTTCAGGCCATACGAAACAGTACAATGATTTTCTAAGCGTAGCTTAAATGTGGCACAAAGCCGAAAGTATAGAGCTGCCAGCGAGGATCGAACTCATTACTCAGTCGCACTTTATCTAACGAAAAAAGCTTGTTAACCATTACACCACGTCGAAGTGCCAAAAATAAATTTCTAAGCAGAGCATAGATGTGACACACAGCCGAATGCATGGGACACACATAAAGGATCGAACTCAATACTCAGTCGTAATTGTTCTATTCAGACAAGCTTGTTAACCATTACACCACGTTGAAGCTCCCAAAACAACTTTCAAAGCATATCATCGATGTGACACAAGGCCGAATGTATGAGCCACCTAGCGAGAATCGAACTTAATACTCAGTCGTAATTGTTCTAGCGAAATAAGCTTGTTAACCATTACACCAATTATGAAGTTCTCAATATAACTATCTAAGCGTAGTATCGATGTGACACAGCCCGGATATATGAGGCACCTGGTGAGAATCGATGTCAATACTCAGTCATAATTGTTCTAGCGAAACAAGCTTGTTAACAATTACACCAATTATGAACACTATATAACTTTCTAAGTGTAGTATCGATGTGACACAAGGCCGAATGTATGAGGCACCTGGTGAGAATCAAAGGCAATACTCAGTCGTAATTGTTCTAGCGAAACAAGCTTGTTAACCATTACACCAATTATGAAGTTCTCAATATAACTTTCTAAGCGTAGTATCGATGTGACACAAGGCCGAATATATGAGGCACCTGGTGAGAATCGAAGTCAATACTCAGTCGTAATTGTTCTAGCGAAACAAGCTTGTTAACCATTACACCAATTATGAACACTATATAACTTTCTAAGTGTAGTATCGATGTGACACAAGGCCGAATGTATGAGGCACCTGGTGAGAATCGAAGTCAATACTCAGTCGTAATTGTTGTAGTAAGACAAGATTGCTAACCATTTTACCAATTATGAAGTTCTCAATATAACTTTCTACGCGTAGCATCGATGTGACAAGCTTATTAACCATTACACCCCGTTGAGGTGCTCCCACTCTACCGAAACAGTATTTCATTGAATAAACAAGAGAGTCGTGAATTTGGGAAGTGGGCTGGGCCGAAAAATAGTAGCATATTTATGTGACTGCAAAATTGTTAACCATTCACTTATTTAGATATGCAAGTCGTCTTCGACTTACGACATATCCGACTTACCACTGTTCGTCTTTATGACCGTGACAGCGAATTAGTATGTCTGATAATGACTGCTTCGCGTCTGACAGAGTGAATAATTCCCAGTATGGTGCACGATAATTTCCGCCCCAGCTCCTGGCGATCTTAGCATTCCCTTGCCCACCTCATGTTCAATGTCAGGGCAATCCTGGTATAAAACATCTCTCTCTCACCGGAATTCGTTTGTGTCTCTGAAATTGTACTTATAAAAAAATACCCCAAATCTTTACCAAGAGGATATTGTCTGTCTGTTTCTCCAGCTATCAAGAAGTAAATAAAAGCTATTGATTTAGACATCTAAATGCAAGCACTAGATTTTTTGTATTTGTATGTATTTTGCTTATGTTTTTCCATTGAAATGTTTTGTGTTCATTGCACCTGTATTTCGTTTGGCTTTTGTATGCTTAGCAAATATTAAACTTTACCGTAGCATGCAGCGTTTGACGTAAACGTGAAGAGCGTAAAAATAAGAAAAACCTGCGTAGAAAGATGATGCAAATAATTCCTTGTTTCCTTCAAGGCATTTTTTATCTCTATAGAATCTATCTCACATATCTATAATTGTACCACTCGGACCATACTTAGAATATTGCTGTCACATATGATCCGGTGCCAATGCTATTTACCTTAAGCTCCTTGACAACATCCAAGGAATAATCAACAATATTATTGGCCCACATTTGGCAGATCGGCTTCATTCACTTTCTCACTGCCGTAAGGTTGCTTCCCTGTGTCTTTTCTATAAATACTTTCATGCTAATTGTTCGGATGAGCTCTTCGCTATACTCATTGGCTCCTTTTATTTCTGTCCCATTTTTTTCTTTAGTTTAATTCCCCGTCCCCTCCCTCGTTAGGTGGTCGGTGACGTCAGTTCAATGGCGGATGAAGGGTGCATTTCGTCTTGGGCGTGTTTTTCGTGTTTGTTGTTGAGTCTGAATGAGTGTGTTTGTGTGACTGCTTCGGATGAATGAATTTCTTATATTATTTTAAAGTCCCGCATTGATTTCGTCCGGTTAACTGATGTTTCTGCCACATTTAAGGATTGGGGGGGGGTTATTACTAACATCATTTTGTTTAGTTTCTTGTAAATAGAGTTGTATTCACATTGTAAATACTCATTGGGGATAGTTTTTAAATTGTCGTTTTATTCCCCTCCCCACACAGACAATGAATTGTACATATGGGGACTAGTTAGGACTTTCATAGAGACAATGAGGTATTATGGTGAATGTAGTAAGAAAGGTAAATAAGAATATATTGTTTTGGTGTAAGGAATATTGTTTACATGTTTGGGTCAGTGTTTGTGGCTAGCTTAGTTTAAAGTTAAAACAGATGAAGACCGCCATTTTCCCGATTCACCATGTTGGCCTCGTGCCAGATTTTGTAAATAATTACAAATAAACATCACTCTTAGCTCTGGTACATAGACTTTTTGAATTTAAGCGCAATATTAGACTGGCGTCGAGATATTAGTCTGCAGTTGAGTTGGCTAGATGTAACAGTAAATTCTATAATAACAGTTTATTTTCTCGCACTTCTTATTGTGGAACTCTCTTCTGGCTCCATGTTTTCCAGCCAACTATAATCTGAAAAAAATGCAATGTCAATCGCTATCTGCTGTCCTCCTGATTACTCTTTTCTCTTCCCGCAAATTATTAATGTTTCTGTTCCTAATTCTAACCTCATATGTCTTTACTGACTTGCATGGGTGGTACCGATGAAAAATAAAAAAATTAAAAAACGAAAAGAAACCACAAAAATTATTTAAAAAATACAATAATACCTATAGAAAGATAAAAAAGATCGCAAAATGAATTCTACCGTAGTATGGAGTGTTTTATCTAAACCTGACGAAGGACATATCACGTTGAAACACCAGTTACCGAGAACGTAAATTAAGCAACGTCGAGTCTGGTCAGTATCTGGATGAGTGACTGCTTGAGATACCAAGTGCTGTAATCTTGAACGTGCTGGTGGGATAATAGATAACGGCTTGGAATTGTTAAACAAAGCTCCGAGTTCCGACAAAATTACCGAAGTTAAGCAACATCCACCCATGTCAGTACCTAGATGGGTAACCATTTGCGAATACCAGGTGCTGTAAGCGTGAATGTGCTGGTGGTGTAATGGATAAAGGCTTGGAATTGTTAATCGGAGAGCCGAGTTTCCATAAGATCACTGAAGTTAAGCAACATCCACCCATGTCAGTACCTAGATGGGTGACCTCTTGCGAATACCAGGTGCTGTAAGCTTGTCTGTGCTGGTGGTGTAATGGATAAAGGCTTGGAATTGTTAATCGGAGTGCCGAGTTTCCATAAGATCACCGAAGTTAAGCAACATCCACCCATGTCAGTACCTAGATGGGTGACCTCTTGCGAATACCAGGTGCTGTAAAACGACTGTGCTGGTGGTGTAATGGATAAAGGCTTGGAATTGTTAATCGGAGAGCCGAGTTCCAACAGGTTAACGAAGTTAAGCAACATTCACCTATGTTAGTACCTAGATGAGTGACCTCTTGCGAATACCAGGTGCTGTAAGCTTGACTGTGCTGGTGGTGTAATGGATAAAGGCTCGTAATTATCAATCGGAGCCCCGTGTTTCGACAGGATTACCAAAGTTAAGCAACATCCGCATATGTCAGTACCTAGATGGGTTATCGCTTGGAAATACCAGGTACTCTAAGCTTGGATGAGCTGGTGGTGTAATGGTTAACGTCTCGGAATTTTTAATCGGAGTTAACCAACCTAAATGGGTAACTGCTTGTCAATACCAAGTAATATTAGATTGGTTGTGCGGGTGGCCGGATAACGGCACAGAATTAGAAATTGGAGAGCCGAGTTCCAATTCCAACCGGGTTCGTTATATACACTTGTACACAAATAACCTTTGGGAAAGGTATGAATTAACCTCTCCTTCTCCCTCCAGCTATGGTTTGATTAGTAAGACTCATCTATAAATCATTATTATTATTATTCCTTTTAAATTCTTATAATCTAAATCAGTTTCTGGTTTTAAATCACCTATTGATAAACCGTAAAAGTAAATGAGTTTTAGCTCTTTTGTTTTTTTCATGTGACATAATACAGAGCTTATTTTGGCATTTTTTAAAGTCCGCACAGTATATATAAATAGAATAGATATATAGATATCAGATTTGATATAAGATTGATTATTAACCAATCAGTGACGTTACATCAAAAACGCTTAAGGCTTTGAAATTTCAAACATCCATGTTTATTGTCTGCCACGAAAGTTATAAGGTCATTCTAGAAAATTATCGACATTATTTTCTTGCAATAGACTCAACATTTTAAAGTAAATTAAACAAAATCATTAAAGAAGAGAAATGAATTGACTGTGACATGTAGGCATAAAATAAATATCTGCCGAAATATGTTCATCCAGATTCATTTTAATGTATATTATGTTTTTTTTTGTTTTTTAAACAACCGGTAATCTTCCTTTATGTTTAATATAAAAAAAATTAATATTCACAACTCTAAAATAACTTATTTTACACACACACACACACACACACACACACATATATATATATATATTTTAGCAGTATCTTTCATTAATGGGAATTTTTGCCGTTCAGTTGGAGCAGTTTAAGTTTAAACTCAGCCCACCCGAAAATCAATATTAGTAACAACAATTGGGTGCAACTGTGGCACATCCCCCAAAGCGGGGAGATAGCAATTTGAATGGCAGGGGCCCCGAAAAGGGCCATTTTTGCGTTCTCCATCTTATTTCAGCCTCACGCACAGCAGCAGAAGAGGCGTTTCTCCTCAGAGGTTGAGTCCTTTGATCATCATTTTCAGCCTTGCGCGCAGAAACGTTCAGATATGCTCTTCTGGGAAGCCGATGGCAACATTGATCTTCGGACTCCGTGGTTCTGATTGAAGCATTCACAGACGCTTTTTGAGACAGGCAAACTGAACATTCTAAAGACGATTCGTTATCTCTTATCAGCAGACCTGGCAGCAGCGGTTTTGCGACGTGGGTAAGTTCTTATCATTGGCGGCATGTCTTAGGCAATATGAATTGACAAATGGAATGCATGGGCAAATAACAGAAGAGAACGCTGTGAAGCTACGTGGGTCACTAAACTCGAATAACTTTAGGGAAGTTTGGAAAAATAAATGTTGAGTAATAAAAAAGCAAGCTTAATTATTACGACGATGAATGCAATACAAAAACTGGCAGGACAATAAAAAAATCTAAATTGGGAACGGCTATAAACGACAATGAAAGCAACTCCTTAAAACTGTAGAAGTAGGCTTTAGGCAACGGAAAAGGTAACCTCCCTTCAGACCGATTTGAGAGTTGGCCAAGAGAAGGGGAATGTGTAATTTGAACTCAAAACCGGCACTGAAGAATTATCTATCAAACAAAAAAAAAAATAAAATAAAATAAAATAAAATAAAAAAAAATAAAAAAAAATAATCGAAATGGATGAAAACTGTGGGAATGCATAAACAATATCCGAGCACATGCACACATACATACACGCACACAAACGCACACAGACGCACATACACACACATTTTGAGAATTATAGATAATATTATTGTAATAATTTACAATATTTAATTTTTATTAAAGTTTTTATGAAAGATATATATCCAAAAACAGATAGTAAATAGTAAAACGTTGCTGAGAGTTATAATGGACAGGAAGTAGTGGAGAGCCATTGTCAAAATCGGCACTGTAGAATTATCTGCCAAACAAAAAATTCCATCGAAATCGGATGAAAACTGTAAAAATGCATAAACAACATTCAATCACACACACACACACACATACATAAACACACATTTTGAGAATTATATATATATATATATATATATATATATATATATATATATATATATATATATATAATGGACTCTCCCCGTCGGTTTCGACGTATGAAGATCTGCCAGCTTATTGATTCAGTTATGAAAGTTTATGCGCTAATCTTAAGTGGCATTTAAGACCCTTCAGTGATTTACAAAGGTGGCCACATATGGAGCAAGTGAGAGGATTGTGAGATGAGATCACTGTTAGATTGGTTCACCTTTTAGAATCTTTGCTCTCCTTCTTGAAGATGATTCAGACAAGTAGATTGAAAATTGCTGAGTCCACTAAAAGACGTTGATCTCCATTCTACCCGCTCCTAAGCTAAAGCGCTCAAAGGGTGTTATGTGGGTATATTAACTGGTGACAAGTTGCTTTTCAGCTTGTTTATATATATATATATATATATATATATATATATATATATATATATATATATATATATATATATATATATATATATATATATATATATATATATATATATATATAATAAAACAACAATCCGGTAATTGCAACCAGATATTTCTATTAAGATTTAAATTACGTAACGGACAGTCTGTGCTTAACCGTAGTACCTTGTCTGTTGTTGTTAAAGAAACATGCATAAACGAAGGATTGCTGCTTAAATATACAACTATATATATATATATATATATATATATATATATATATATATATATATATATATATATATATATATATATCTCGGAATAATGCTTTGATACCAGAGAACGAATAGATAGATTTGAACAAACAAATATATGTTATGCTAATTTTAAAAAAAAAAAAAAATTGTTTAGGACCTAGGCTGACTTTCGTCCAACGCTTCTTCAGGGACCGATCGTTGGTAAAAACCTGATTTAATTAGACTGTAAATATGCGGGAAAATTCTCGTAGATATGGCGGGAACGTGTATAAGCAATTTACGATTAATGTAATTGCGTAAACTTAAGAAAATAAATAAATTTACGATTAAAATAAATAAGTAAACTTAAAAAACAATAGATAAATGAACCAATTAGAGCATAAAACAAGTAAATAATATTTTGCCTGCACAGAGATGGATGCCGCAATTTAAGGCAAATGGCCTCCAGAACTAACAAATCGTATTTGGACCTGCCTGTATACAGAAGAGAAAATGAGTCCGACGTAAAACGTGACGAGCATATCTCATTTTCTAAAAGGTGTTGCTCCAGTACTGACAAACCCCCAAACAATTTGGACATAGGAAACGTAAAATTATTCTCATATTTTTTCACTATATCTTTTAAAATTTTCGATTTGAAAACGTTACTTTAATATATATATATATATATATATATATATATATATATATATACACTCTTAGATGAAAAATAAAATAAACAGATTCAAAATACAATGGACACATACTTTTCACACCTTAAGTGATCATTAGGCATGCAGTATTTTTTTTATACTAATGTACACTAAATACAAGGCCCAAGAGTAACTCAAGGTAGAGGGATACTATGTTGTGTTGTATGAACATAAGAAAGTACAAGAAGTGAAGTTCTTGGACCTATGCAGCAAAGATAACGGTTAACTCTAGACTTGAAGTGATTGGGAAAACATCCTGTCGGGAGTCTGTTCCACAAAGTAGCAGTTCTTGGGAAGAAACTGTCACAATGGATCTTACTTATTGCAAATAGAAATACGAAGGGAATGTGGACGATTCACTCTTGTGGACGCGGCATTTATAAAGGTCTGTGGCAGTGGAAATAAGGAGTATAGCTCGTCAGATTAATAACACTTCAAAATGCACACGTTACTTATATATAAAATAAATAAAACATATCCGATATGAGATTTTAAACTCAAAACTTTTAGCCAACCCTTTAACCACTGGGCCAAACACCTAGCCTAATTACTTTGTTATGGTAGTTATTAACGGTTGGTAATTATAAATGAAGCTTAAGGAGAAAGATAGAAAGAGTAATTGAGAGAGTAGGTGAGAGAAAGAGAGAGTGAGAGGGGGGAGATGGCGGGGAAGAAAGGAGAGAAAGTTTAGTGGGAGCAAGGTGTATAGCTTACGTAACGTGGGGTACATGCGTGTTGAGAGACTCCCGATGCGGATCTATCTCTGAGTATTTCTATCTATATCAGTCTGCTTTTTATCTATCTATCTATCTATCTATCTATCTATCTATCTATCTCAGTCTCTTTCAATATTTCTTTCTCAGTCTGTTTTATCTATTTATGCTAGCCTTTTAATTTCTTTCTTCATTCATTCTTTCTTTCTGAGCCTGTGTCTTCTCTCTCACCACTTCTTCCTTTCTTTCTTTCTTTCTTTCTTTCTTTCTTTCTTTCTTTCTATCCCTCTATATCAACCTCTGTTTCTTTCTTTCTTTCTTTCTTTCCTTCTTTCTTTCTTTCTTTCTTAGGTTGTTTCTATCTATCTATATTAACCTCTGTTTTTCATTCATTGTTTCTTTCTTTCTTTCTTTCTTAGACTGTTTCTATCCCTCTATATCAACTTCTGTTTCTTTCTTTCTTTTCTTTCTTTCTTTCTTTCTTTCTTTCTTTCTTTATCAACCTCTGTTTCTTTCTTTCTTTCCTTCTTTCCTTCTTTCTTTCTTTCCTTTTCTTTCTTAGGTTGTTTCTATCTATCTATATTAACCTCTGTTTTTTTCATTGTTTGTTTGTTTCTTTTCTTCTTAGACTTTTCTTCCTCTATACTGTTTTATCCTTTTCTCTTTTTTTTTTTCCTTTCTTTTTTTTTCTTTTTCTTTTTTCTTTTCTTTTCTTTCTTTCTTTCTTTATCAACTTCTGTTTCTTTCTTTCTTTCTTTCTTTCTTTCTTTCTTTTTTCTTTCTTTCTTTTCTTTCTTTATCTCCCTATATCAACCTCTCTTTTTTTCATTCTTTCT